GCTTAGCATTGCCTACACTGACTGGCAGTGGCTTTCCAGGTCTTCAGGCAGAAGTTTTCCCCAGCTGACTCTGGAGATGCTTGTAGTTCTGTTCTGCTTAAGGTGACATTTTGGAAATAAGGCTCTTCTTGCTGAATAATAGATACAAGGAAGCATTTACCTGTCAGAGTAAATAGTGCATGGGAAGGTTCCCTGACAAAGGCATTACCAGATGTGTTGGGAACTACCTTACGATACTAGGCACTACTTCACAGTGTTAAAACATGTTCTGTACATCATTAATTTGGTCTATCTCACCAGCTCTCCTGTGGAGCTCTGTAAGAAAGATTTTACCAGCATAGGCCACTGAGTTTAAGCTGTTTAATTTATTTTTATTTATTTATTCAATTTGCATACCGCCCTATACCCGCAGGTGGTTTAAGCTGTTGGTGCTTCTGATTCCTTGTAGGGATAGGAGCCCATTTAGATTGGTTTGCCTTTGGAAACTGATGGAGCAAGGCGGTTTCCTTATAGTTCCACCACTATACTTTCCAGCCAAAAGGGCTGGCAGTTCTGCTGTGCTCTCTTTGATCTGTGGAATGCTGAAGTGGCTCTGTTAACAGACACAATTGCTACTATACATAATATTGTATTGATCTGACCCTTGGTATTCTGGGGAGCTTGTGGTGATGAAACAGTTGCAAAGACAACTTGAATGCAAGTGGAAGAAGATGCAGAAGGAATCTGACTAGACCCATTTGAAGGCTGATGGAGAACAGAAGTCTTCTCTGACACAGTGTCTGCTCTGTGTCATCCAGTTGAGCCTTTTCCCAGATAACTGAGTAGGCTCACACATTTGGATAACTGGGAGATGAATTGGAACTCCTGGTACAGCCCACTGTTAGTTATTTGCCAAGCATTTTCCAGGTAAAAATCATTGTCTTCTGCTTTGACTTGTACTTCTGGTTGACAACAGTACAAATACCAGAAGTTCTTTTAGCACCATTTTGCTGCAATTGCTTAGCTCATTTTTAATTATTGCAGCCTGAGGGTGACATAGTGCTTGGAAAGGTTTGACCTACCTTTAGTGTGCTTGACCCTTGGCCACCTTGGCTGATAACATCTAGCTAAAGGGGAGGTTAATGCCACCTTGTGAGAGGGGATGGCCCATGCTGCCTTGAAGGAAGTTGTTGGACAACTCTTCCTAGGACCTTTCAGATTTGTCCAACTATTGGACATTGGTAATCTTGGCCAAAGCATCTAAAAGAGTGCAGAGGCACCACATGTCAGGACATTCCTAGATAACAATGTTTTTAGGACTGAGACTTCCTTGGTTGTACTGGTTGATGACATTTGCCAGAGAGATAGAGGGATTGTGACCCTTTTTATTATCTTTGAGCTCTCAACAGCTTTCAGTACCATGGACTGTGTTATCCTTCTGGATAGCCTGGCATGGATGGGAGTTGGAGATACTGTGCTCTGGTTGCTACTCCTCTTTCATGGGTTAGTTCCAGAGGGCAAAGGTGGGGGGATTTTTGCCCAACACTTTCACATCCATTTTATTTACAGTTCTACAGAATTCATTTTTATATCCCATGCTATTTAACATCTACATGCAAGCATTGGAAATGGTCATACAGAGTTTGCTGATGACCCCCAACCATATTTCTTCTTTTCATTTACAACAGGCGAAGTAGTGAATGTTCTAATCTAAACAGTGCTAGAGGCAACTAAAACTGAAGCCAAATCCAGTTAAGATGGGCAGTGTAATTGACCATTGAGATGATATTCAACCTGTATAGACAGACATATATAGGTTTGCATAAGGGCTGTGCCCAACACACATTAGTTCAGTGGTGATGCTGATTATGATAATATAACCATTCTGGCCTTCCTAAGCAGATAAGGACATGAAAATAGCAAGCTGGATCCAGCCAATGGGCCATCTAGTCCAGCACCCTCTTCTCACAGTGGCCAACCACATGCTTGTGGGAAACCAGTGAGCAGATAAGAGCACAAGAACACTCTCCCTTCCTGTGGTTTCCAACAACTGGTGTTCGGAAGCATTGCTGTGTCTCCAGCTCTGGAGGTAGAGCATAGCCATTGTGGCTAGTAGTTACTGACTCCATGAATTTGTCTAATCAAAATGGGTTGTATACATACCTTCATCCAGATGAGCAGAAATCTCAACAAACAGTGCCTCCACATCTAATCTGCATTAAACTTCAGCTTGTTTGCCCTCATTAATACCAGATCGGCCTCCAGATGCAGGTTTTAAAATATATAACTGTCAGGGAACTGCCATCGCTGCCAGGAGTGGAGGAAGGGCTCCCAAGCGATGCCGGAGAAGGGCCCAGCAGGGAAAGAGGGGACTCAGCGGCCGGGGAAGGAAATCAGCGTTACACCAGGGAGAAAGGCGGGCAGAGGCGGGCTTCGGAGAGATGGCTCCAGGATTCTTCGCCCGAGACCAGCGGGGAGAGCACGGGTCCTCCACTGCCCACACCCACCCTGCGCAGAAGACTTCCGCGCAGCGAGGCTAGGCAGAGACTATCCGTCAAGGAACTTTTATGTTGGAAGAAGTTCAGGAAACGCCCACTGACGGATTCTGCCAGTGACTGAGACAGACGCGGAATCAGGACTGTCCAGCCAGGGAAAGGTTTATCCAGGCAACCTCGCCGAGAGTGGCGGCAACTTACGCACGAGCAACCCCCAATTCCCATTACAATAACCTTTCCAATAAAATGTTTAGGGCAGCTCACAACAAACATTAAAATACAATAAACAACAAATCAATAACAGCCACAAATAGAGGGCAGAGCCATCAAGTATGTAGCTCAAAGCCACAGTTTCATTTGCCAGGAGCAGACCTCCTCCAGCTCCATGCCGGTGCAAGCGTAGTCACTAAGAAACTGAGCCACCATCTAGGAGGTCCCTGGTGTTCTTGCCTCAGCTATGAACGCCCTAGGTGGCCTTAGGCAAGCCATTGTCTCTCATCCTCAGGCACATTGGTAATACAGGTATAACACTACTGACCTACCTTACAGGGTTGTTGCAGAAGACAGTGTATGTGAAGTGCTTTGAATAGTTGAAAGAGCTATACAGATTCTGAGTATTATTGTTGTCACCCACACAGAATCTTCCAGGGAAAGCCCCATAGAGTCCAATCTAGCTAAGAGCTCCATCCATGTTCAGTACTCTCCACAAAAAGAGTATTGTAACGGGGGCAGATTAATAAAGGGAGTACAATATATTAAAGGGTCCAGATATGACTCAGAAGGGCTGCTCATTTCTGCTTCAACTGTGTTTATGCTGCTTATGATGGTGGATTTCTGCAGATCACAGTAGACTCTTGTCTCCCTAGCACTTCTCCCCAGCACTTCTATCAGGTTCCAGAGGCTGACCAGCCACTCTGAAAAGCTGTGAAAGCAGAAGCTTAGACTTTTGGCATTTTGTTTGTTTAGTCCAAGTATGTGGAGAAAAATGCGTGTGTCCTGCAAGGAAGTGACTTCGGTGTAGAAAATTCATCTTATGTGAATGCTGTCTGTTTTCAATATCCATTTCCACTCATGCTTAAAATGCTTGATAGGTTTGCTACAGATTTTTCCTACTGCTAATGAAATGTATTTGCATGCCTCAGTGGGCAAAATGGCAACATTCTGCTCCAAACATGCACACATTCAGTGTGAAATAAGCACAGTCATAAATAAAATTAATACTCAGATGATGCCGAGTACATAATTGTTTTTAAATGTGCAGCGTTGTCATTAGAAACAGTGGCATTTTTCATATATATTTTTCCTTTTCACATTCTGAATTGCTATGCATCAGAGACTGGCTATACGTTAGTCTGTGGATATTAAATAGGCAGGTATTAAATAAAATGTAACATTTTCTTTTATTATTAATTTTGTTGTTATTCCATCTTCTCCATCATTATAAAATTCCTTTGAACTAACAACTCGCTGCTATGGATTGATCCTATGAGGGGCTAAGTTCTCAAGCTTGATACACTAAATCAGTAAGCGGTTAATTGTGCAAACAAGTAACTCTTTCAGAGTCTAGGCCAGGCTCAGTGCAAATAACCTCTCTTTGATTTCAGAGTAGGTGAGTAGAAGGGATCGGTTTTAGTCCTCTGTGTTTTGCTGGTACTTCCAAGGGCCAGTACAGTTGTAAAATTAAGTGGTGTTAAAGGACCAGCCTACTGTTTCCCCTCATGTTCATAAATCCTTCAGTGTTATATCTGACTTGCTAACCCTGATTAAAACCCTTGAATGCCCCACAATTTTGGAGAGTGTGTGGCTCCTGTGGCTCTGTTCTTCTTACTCCACGTTGTTACATTTGCAGTAGCCTTAATGACTCTCCAGAAAGGTGATTTACATTTGTTTCTTGTAATGAGAATAGACTACTTTTTATGAACTATGACATTTTAAGCAGGTTTTATTAAACTGTTTTATTATCACTTACTGTACATCCCAACAGCTGTGGCATTGAAGCAATACAGTGGTACCTCGGGTTACATACACTTCAGGTTACAGACTCCGCTAACCCAGAAATAGTACTTTGGGTTAAGAACTTTGCTTCAGGATGAGAACAGAAATCATGCTCCAGCGGCGGCAGCACAGCAGCAGGAGGCCCCATTAGCTAAAGTGGTGCTTCAGGTTAAGAACAGTTTCAGGTTAAGAACAGACTTCCAGAACGAATTAAGTTCTTAACCCGAGGTACCACTGTACTTGATAATTTGAACTAACTTAAATGGTTCTGTGCATATATTTTTTAACTCTTATGCAGACTCAAACATATACTCTCTACGTTGTAGGTGATCATGCATTTAGTATCACATCTGCATAGTATGCATGGCAACAAAATAGTTGTCTGCATACATATGTGTGTGTGCAATGCCAATCGGCATGCATTTCAGAAAGTAGACATCCTCAAAGTCCTCTGAAACGTAGTAATATGTATCATGTATCATTACCATTTTTGCTAATTTACTGTGATAACTGTGTCTCTGTTTTCTCTAGGAGATGAAAGCCGGGAAATTAAAAAACAAATTACAGGGATGAGAAGATTACTGAATGACAGCACTGGAAGAATATATCAGAGAGTTGGCAAAGAAGGAGAAAAACTGAAGGAAGAACCCCAGGACTTAGATTTGGCCTGGGCTCAGCGTCTGAATCCCCCTGCAGAAACCCAGGCCAACCTCCATCCAAGTCAGAGTGGCGCTTGGAATGAATTGTCCCCCCAGATAAGCCACTATTCAGGGCAATATGGAACTCGGTCCAAAACCTTCCAAAATCAAGCAAGAACCGTAGGTGCAAATGGTAGGATCCACATTTATACATTTAAATCACTGCTTATTTGTTTTGTTCTCTTTGAAAAATGAGTGCTGAGTTACTTGGATAAAATAATTTGGCCATTATGTTAGAAACAAAAGAATCTTCCTTATACTGGCTCATCTCGGTATTGTCTATCCTGACTGACAGTAACTCTCCGGGGTTCCAGGCAGTCTTCTGTCCCAGCCCTGGCCAGAGGCTCCAGGGATTGAATCTGGGACCTTCTGCATAAAAAGCAGATACAAATTCAGAGAAAGTTGTACGATTGTCAGCTGTAAAAAGTTAAGGTTTTTATGTTTGGACCCAAAGCTGATCTTAAACCTCTTTTATCGTAATGATAGATTATTCCATAGGTAGGGAATCTATGACCTTCCAGATGCTGGTGAATTCTAACTCCTATCAGCCCCAGACAGCCTGGCCTGGAATGATCAAGTCCAGGTTCCCCACCCCTTCTTTAGTTCATGAATGGCCAACCTATGGCACAAGTAAAGGCATTTGTGGCACATAATTGGGGGCCTGCCTCCTCCATGCCACACTTCTGCCTGTGTGGTTCAGTGGACTACAGGGGAAAATATGATGCGCACAAGAAGGTGCTTTCATGTGCATAGAATGGCATGCTCTCGTTGCTGGACTTGGCGTATGGCTTGTTGGTTACCACCACTGTTTTAGTTGATTAATTGGAAGGTGTGTTTTGCTTCTGGCACTTAGTAATAATATTTCCATTTCATAAATAGATATAGCCTTCTTTTACTTGGTCAAAATTAATTTATATAGAAAGAAGTTGGCTTGGCTTTGAGGTCTGTATTGATTATTGCAATTATAGATGGGAAATGTGAATGTGCACCCACAAAATCCACCTTACAAAATTAATTGTTTTTGACTCTCTTATTAATAATTCCGCTTGCAGTGTTGGTTGCATATATATAGACAAAGACATTGATGTATTCATCACTTGTAATAGATGCAAACATTCATCACTTGCATCTATTATATCAGTGTATTAATTTTCAGTTGTGCAGAAGAGGAAACAATACTGTCCCTTTTATGTTCAGTTTCATTTCTGTTAGTGCATTGGCTCAGATTGAACACAGGAAGGATAGTACTACAGCATAGTACAACTATTTTTTTTCTTAACTGTATTATGTTTGTTTGCTTAGAAATGTGGAAAATGCAGTACAGGTATAGCCCCCACTTACACAGGGGTTACATCCTGGGGCCTCACGTGCATAAGTAAAGTGGGGATACCCTTTAAACACCCTCTTTGCCAATCTATACCAAAACTGCTGTACCCACAACTAGAATTGAACCTCTGGGACCAGCAGGAGGCTGGAGGACATGTGGGAAAGAGGCTGCTGCTGCTGCTGCTGCTGCTGCACTACCCCACATATCAGCTGTTAGGCGGGGAAGCTGAGCAGCATAAACAAAGCCCTGCTGTGCCTCCAGTCTCTTTGGGGCTTCCTCCGCCCTCACTGACATCCTCTTTGGGCTCCAGGTAAGGTCTCCTCGCGGGTGGGTTCTCTCTCCCACCATTTCTGTGCTTGAATTGAATTGTTTAATTGTTTCCCAGCACCGCTTGTGTACACGGTTTCATGCAAGCAGAACACATGTAAGTGGGGGTGCCTGTATTGTGTTTCCAGTCATATGGCTGCTTTCTTAATGTGGAGCAAGAGAAGAGTTCCATGTGCTGAAAGTGTTTAGGTTTCCAGTTGTTTCTTGTCTTTGTGTGGGATCGGATGCATTCCTTCAGGATAGCTGGTGCTCTCATACTGGGACTTGAGTCCAAAAAAGTGGCTAGCACCAGCAAGGCTATCTTCTCCTGCTGTGGCAGTGACTCGCCATTTAATGAGCCTTTTCCTCTGAAGACAGAGAACTGCTCCTCTCCAGCGCTGAGCACACACACTGTACCCCGGAACAGGGGCAAAGAGCAACCCAGTTATTGTGCAGCATTCCTCCTTTCCTGGGGAGGGAAAGAGAGAAAGAGATACTATGGTCTTTGAATTGAGACCTGAGGGGCAGAGTCTGTACAAAGGATCAAATGTGTTTGTGGCATGCTTTAACTGACTGGGCAAGTCCTGTTATTGGGCAGAAGTGTCTTCACAGGATAGAGAAGATAAAGGAATAGAAGGGAGATTAATAATAATAATAATAATAATAATAATAATAATAATAATAATAATAATAATAATAATAATAATAATTTATACCCCACCCTCCCCGGCCAAAACCGGGCTCAGCATGGCTAACATCAAATGTATAACACGTTAATGTGGAAAGAAGCAAGTAGCAACAATGGCAATGAACTGTAATACAGTATTTAGCATTTATAGAGCTTTGAAGTGTTCAAAGTCTTTCACATTACAACAGCCTTTGCCAACCATGTGCCCTCTAGAAGTTCTGAACTACAACTCCCATCATCCCCAGCCAGCACACAGACCTGGCTGGGGATGATGGGAGTTGTAGTGCAAAGCAGCTGGAGGCACCAGGGTGGCAAAGGCTGCTTTGCGTGGCAATTCCCGCCCCCTCCCACAGTTGGAGTAATAAAGACACCGGACACAGAATTAAGGTTAATGGGCGTAAATGGCCACAACTTTATTTATTACAGGTAAGAGCGGTATTGGCTTTTAGGCATTGGCCCTAACCGACTATCCGGTCTAACCAGGAAGGGGTTAAACACATCCCTAGGCGCTCCCCGAGGGGGTTACCGCTCGGGGGGGCGCTTTAGGCCCTAGCCTCCGTAGGTTTCGGACGAGGCGACGCCCCCCGGAGTCCTTTAACGAACTACCCTCCAAGATTTGGGGGAGGTGATGGCGTTCCTCCCCCCGACCTCATTTGCATAACAATACCCCTGCCAATGCCTAACCGCCACACGAGCCAGGCTCGCCGCCAATACCCTCAGACCTGTAACCAATCCCTGATCCCCTGAAAAATGTCTGCCAGCCAAATATCATTACCAGCATCGGAAAGATGCACGCCATCCCCGCGGTAGAGTGCTTCCTTGCTGAATTGGATGCCTGGGTGCTCAATGACTCGCCCACCAATTGCAGCCACTCTACGCGCCACCGAGCGCTCCAAGAGCCTTCTGGCTCTACCCACGGCCACGGGATTAGTGGCGTCCCGCCAGCAGCGCCTTTCCAGCAAAGAGGACCATATAATTGTAAGCTTTGGATAGGAGGCCCGCAGCTCCTCAAGGTCATGAGACGGAAAGGGGGCGAGCCGGGGCTGCCCTGACCTTAATAGCCCCTGGTAAGCCTGCCCCCTAGCGCCAGCCGATTGGCTGGCGCCGAGGGATATGAATATGGATGAGAGAGGGGGAATCCCTGAGTCCCACGGGGCTGACGCCAGCCCCACGAGATTGTAGTCGGGGGGCGTGAGCCCCGCAACCCCACCCCCTCCTGATATCGGTAGTGGCTTTGCAACAAGACCGCAAGGTCCGTGAGGCAAGGTTTGAAGTCAGCAGGCCAGTTGAGGCCCCTTGTGTCTCCCTGAGTCTGCTTGGTTATTGAATTCATTCCTGAATTGGCCCTTTGCATAGACAGAGTCCCTTAAGGCAAATCATATCACTTCCCTTCAGGAGCCAATATGTGTTCTAGTGAGTACTACAGGTTAGTGTGCTGTGAAACCTTCCTTGGAGGATTTTAAGCAGAGGCTGGATGGCCATCTAGGAGGGATGCTTTAGCTGAGATTCCTGCATTACAGGGGCTTGGACTAGATGACCTTGGGATCTCTTCCAACTCTACAATTCTATGATTCTGTGCCAATCCTGAATTAGGTATTGCCTACACCAGTGTTTCCCAACCGGTGTTCCGCGGCACACTAGTGTGCCGCGAGACGTTGCCTGGTGTGCCGCGGGAAAAATTAAAAAATTCGAAAGATATCCGGAGAGGCGGCCTTCAGGCGAGTTTTAATTTTAATTTTCCTTCTCCCACTTAATGCCCCACGCTCGCCCGAGCAGCTTGCAGTCCTCGGTAACCACAGCGACCCGAGGGAGGGGAGGGAACAGGGAAGTCGAGGGCGGCGGCGAGCCGCGATGACGTCAGTGGGCCGCGCCGCCTCGCCCTGGCACGGTGTGAGAGCCCCGGCTAGTGGCGCGAGCTTCAGAATAAGTGGGATCCGCGTGCGTGCACTCGAAGAGCTTCGTGAGCGAAGGGTCGATGCTGAGGGCTCCGCTGCTTCGAGGCCCGTAGCGGTAGCACAGGCACGCGGCCTCGTCCACCGTGTCGAAGTCGTAAGCGGCGGCGGCGGAGGTCAGCTGGGCCCCGTCACCAGCCTTCCCGCCCGCGGCCTTCCGCACGGAGCCGGCCCTTCTCGCTCGCTCCGCCGCGCTCGGCGGGGCGCCTTGGCCTGGCTGGCTCAGAGCCGCCTCGGGGTCCGGGTCGGGGTCGGCGTGGGGCTCCGACACCATGAAGTGGCCGCTGTGGATGATCTGCGGACGCGACATCCTCCCAGGCGGAGGTCTCGCTGCCTCCCTCGCCGTCTCCCGGGGCATCTTTAGCACGCGAGAGGCAACGCCGCCGCCGCCGCCATGGCAACGAGGGTGGTGCGCGAGACCGAGATCGCGGGTAAGGAGCTCAGCCCTGGGCAGGAGGAAGCGGGGCCGCGCGTGCGGGCCACATCCCCACAGAGAGCGAGCCTCCCCTGGCCCACCACTCCGGGCAGGTCCACTCGCATGAGGGGGCGGCGATGGCGACGGCCGGCAGCTTGCCTGCAATGCCATCCCTCGAGCAGGCGAGGAGCCCGGAGGCTACCAGATGCGAGTCCTCTTTCCCACCCTGCTCGGGAGTCCAGAGCACTTGGTCGCATTCAGGATCTAGAGTGGGGAAGCGGGGCTTGTGTCTGGGCTGGACACATTGGGCTGCCTGTGCCGCTCGACCTGCGGGGAGAAATCAGGGTGGGAGTCACGACCGTGAGGCAGGGCTGCCAAGTGTGGCAGAAGAGGACACGGCCGTCGCACCTGTCCTTAGGTAGGAGCTTCTTCCGTGTCGACCTGCTGCCCTAAAGTCTTGGCTTTTTTCTTGGCTTTTTGGCGGTTGGCACAGAAGGAAGGCAAGGGGGAGGGGAAAAAATTGAAACTTACACTTTCGTGCGTCCCTCCCGGCGTGACGCTGCGCGCTGACGTCACGGGGCTGTAATGGTGGTGTGCCTCGAGATTTTTTTCATGAAACAAGTGTGCCTTTGCCCAAAAAAGGTTGGGAAACACTGGCCTACACAACTCATTCCATGGTAATAAACAACTGCAATCTGAGATCTCTGGGGTTATTTATGTATTTACTTTATTCTAACAATTTGTATACCACTTAATCACAGTCGTCTCTAAGTGGTGTGAAATAAGACCAAACGTGAGTTAAAACTATATGGCTTTTGCATATGTTTCATCTTCATACAGATTTTTATTTTACTAAGGCTTTTGATTGTGCCTGTTCTGCCCAGTGGTTGTAATCTTGAGAATGGTGCATCCAACTGGGTCCTGTTGTTGATATCTGAACACATAGAACAACCTATGTAAGCCATTCCATGCAAGGCAGATGGCATCTTCTTTATAAAAAATAAGCTTATTACTGACAACTTGACCACCCTTAATAGCACCAAAAATCTCCTGCCTCATGGTGCCCAACAATAGGACCGGTCCTTGTTCCAGTAATTTCTAGGCCAGTGTTTCCCATTGGCCAATGGCAGGTGGACTGAGGCGCCAGCTCCATCCCTGGGGTGGATCGGACTGAGCTGGCCGGCTTCACTCGGTCCGCCTCATGGGTTTATAATGCCAGGGCCTAGTCCACTTCCTCGTTTAGTTTTTAAAAACTGTTCGTACGTGTTTCATTTGTTGTGGAATGAATAAGGTGTCTTATTTACAACAACATATTTCTTTACTATGTTGTAGGACATAGGTAGAAATATAGATACATAAAAGAATTCATATTTCTGTTTGTTCACTTAAAAGAAGGTAGATTTCCAGAGGGGCACAGAGTAATTTTGTTTCTTAAAAGGGAGCAGCAGGCCAAAGAAGTTTGAGGAGCCCTGTTCCAGGCTGTGGGCAGTCTGTTTCATGGAGACGGCTTTTGTGAGTTGAGCCAGAGAAACTGGCAGCTGCTTTTGGCTTCTTTTGTTTTTAAAGGTGCTACTAGGCTTGCTATGATATGTTCCATATGAATATTGGGAATACAGTTGTGGTACTCACATATTGACTTTTCTGTCTGAAAGGCATCTGCGAAGATAGAAAAACATAGCCTTGAATTATTATTTTTTATTGCTCCTGCTGTTGGGCTGCTGTGCAAGCCAAAATAATTCACATTGGCTTCCTTCCATAATATAGAGGGAGGAGCAAAGCGAGAGGTGGTTCTTAAGATTCGTCACTACAAGTAGTTTTCTTAAAAAGTGAGAAATGAATTTTAAAAAGATTGTTAAATTTAATAAACAGACAAAAGTGCTTTTATTCTTTAGGTGATGCTTTGAACATTGAATAAGAACATTCTGTAAAGTGTTCTCTTTTACTCTTGTTGATTTGAAGAAAAATGATGGAAATGCTTTTTGGGGTTTTTAAAAAAATCTCCATAAATATGCATGAAGTTAGCAGAGCCCTGCTTTTGATTTGAAATATTGGTGGTCTCTTTTTTCCATTTACTGTACACAGGGTAGATTTACATGGGTAATTTCTATCAATGCTAATGGGAATTATAATGTAAATCCCCCATGCCTCAGTAGGAAAACAGACCTTTTGGTTTTCAAATGGGGCTTCAGTACCTGCAGACCTCATTAGTAATGCATTATATTTGTAGCAGAAAAGATGAGCATGAATTTATTCCAAGGTTTGCTTTGTCAAAATTTTATCATGATATTCATCAGAATATTAAAAACGGAAGAGGAAAGGGACAAATTCATAAAATAATATTTATTTGCTAAGCTTAGTTCTCTAAGACACATAATACAGACAGACAGACTCCGTTTTAAAATATTATTTTTAATAGCTGAAAAAGACAGGGTTTTTTCCTTATAGTGCTCTGTTTCATAGCCCTAATAATATTTGTTTTATATTGTTTGATTAAACCTTGCTGTACAGACAGTTAGGAAATATAAAGACTCTGCTGCAGAATGAACTGGGAACTAGTAACGTGCAAAGCCAATGGAATTATAGTTCTTGAACAGGAGGCTATATACTAAAACAGGCTCATACAAGTTCAGTGACCTGTTGAGGATTTGTGGTTATCCTGGTGTTTTCTCTCTGACAACCTGCATGTTCAAACAAGGCCTTTTTTTCCAGTCTTGTGGAACTCCTTGCTACATAGATGCATGCTTAGCTGCATACTTTTCTTTCCATTGCCTTGTGAAAGGTAGCTTTGGCTCTGAAGATCCTTCCTAAGGTATCTGGGACTAGTTTTGTTTTATTTATTTATCTATTTGATCAATATACCACCCTTTATCCAAAGATCTCAGGGCACTGTACAACATTGAAAACATAATTTATGCAGCATAATAATAACAACAGTCCCTCGATTTAACAGGCCACAAATTATTTAATGGCCAAATGTTTGGGTAGAGCTGAATGTTTTCACCTGCCGCCTAAAGACATATAATGATGGTGCCCAGCGAGCCTCTCAGGGGAGAGCGTTCCACAGACGGGGAACCACCACAGAAAAGGCCCGTTCTCATGTTGTCACCTTCCGAACCTCTCAGGGAGAGGGGGCGTAGGAAAGAGGCGGATGACAAATGCTTCTTTCCTGCTAAAATATACATTTAGGCTGTTTTTGGTTTTTCCATTCTTTTATTGTGCAACCCTTTGTGTTAATGAAAAAGGGCTTTGTTCATTAAAATATTCCTGTGCCACCGTTCATATGTCATAACAAGGGGTGTGCTTTCAGCATCGATCAGCTGATCAGCGCTGAGAGCAAGCCCCTTGGAAGGCCCATGGCAGGTGGTTTGGAGCCACACTGTGCCTGCAAGCATTCAGAGGGGCTTTTGCTCATTGCTGTCAGCTGTTCAACGCCAAGAGCTTTAACGTGTGCTGTCAGCAGCCCCATCCACTGCAGTTGGAAGTTCCCAATGTGCAGCTCTCTAGGGTAGCCAATCCCAGACAATCCCAGATACTTGCCCCACTCTTGATGTCACATAATGCTGTTAGGTGTGGGGCAAGTGGGCATGGTTTGGGGGAAACGGCCTCACAGACCTAAGTAGGGCCCCTGCCTGGCATGATTAGCTCCCTGCCACTCACCTATTATATGGACCCCATCATGGAAACACCGTAGTCATTTTACCTGGACTTCATGTAGCAACTGACATTAGTTGTGCTGGAAACATCTGAAAAGACCCTTGTTTTTAAATACAGAAATTGATACCTGAGCCCAGGGTGGCAAGGTCTCCGTTTCTCAGCAGCCAGGAGCCATGGGAATGCACATCCTTTCTGTTTTAAAGGTTCCAGGTTCAATCCCTGGCACCTCCAGTTTGGGCTGAAACCCTGGAAAGCCTCTGCCAGTCCGTGTAGACAGTACTGAACTAGGGAGGCCAATGGCCTGACTCAGTACAAGGCTGCCTTCTGTGTTCCTGTGCCTCCTGAAATCAAGTGCAGGAAGCTTTCAGACTTGAGTTGGGAAGCAGATATAAATTTAACAAACACATGCTGGAGACAGTATGAAGTGCAGTAGTAGGATGGTTGACAACCTTCAACAGCAATACTTGAAAAGAAACTGGGAAGTAGGAGTTCACCGTCACAATGAAAGGGAAAGCTGTGGATATTTTCTGCCTTCATAGAACTTCTCTGTTCATGGAAATCGATGATGGAGGACTCTGTTCTTTTAATTTTTAATACTGTGAAGCAACAAGCGGCGTTCAATCCATTTTAGACTTGTTAGTTCTTTATTAAATAACTTATTACACAGCCATCTCATTCTTTCTAAGGGTATTGTCATATGGAGGGAGGGCCTTTCTGGGTTGTTCCGCGCATGATAGAGCAACTGTTTCTGTAATGAGCTTCAGTGCTCTTGTTATCCACCATGAACTAGTTTGACAATAAGGAGGCCTGCTGTGAGCTTACATTGTCTTTGCTGTTTTGTGCAGACTTCACTATACCATGGAACGTTATTTGTGTGGGGAGGGGAATGGCAAAGCACACCCCTGCCGCCGCCACCTCACAGTGGAGATTTTTAATTTTAGGTTTCAATTTCCTAACAGCATGTATCAGACAGCATTAAAACCCTGTAAAGACATTCTTGCCCTGCATCACCGTTTTAATTTCCCTTTTTTCTTCAGGAGAAATTCCGGTGGCTAATACTTCCTCTGGCTCAAATTGTTGTACTTGCAATTGCCAACCAGCATTGCAAGCCATTCTTCAGGAGCTTAAAACCATGAGAAAGATAATGCAGATCCAAGCAGGTATGATAGTCTGTCTTTTCAACTATTAAGGTATAATTTTCAGTCTGCAGACAGACTGCCTTATAAGTGCCTTTTCATGGAAGCATAGGTCTTAAAGAAAGACTGCTGCCCAGATGGTATGGATGAGGGGTTGCCAACCCAGTGCCCACAGGTACTCTGAGCTTTCCTTTTTGAAAAAAGTGAGTCTCTAGCCCTCCTAGAAAGAAACTTATGGGGCAAAATGTACAGGCAACATCTAAGCGATTTCCATGAAATAAGAGTGTTGTGGCCAAGTTGTATATTTCCTGGTACAGTACTGAGGAATGTTCCTGTTGTTATTAGACAACAACAGCAACAGGGTGTTGAGTGTGGGTATGATCTCAGTGTCAGCATGATTTTTGCGTTATGCCATGTTCCCCATAGCAGCTTCCCCAGCTGACTGCTCCAAAGAGAGTGCTCCGCCCACAGCTGTTGGTTCAAGCAGTTGGTTCTGATAAGAGGGTGGGAACTGGTCAGGAGTCTGGGCTGTGAGAACTGTCATCTTTGATACACGTTTGGAAGTGTACTCACAGGTTTTTCTTTCTTCAGTTGCTGCTCAGAACAGACAACCGCCCCCAGTTCCTCTGGTTTGCACACAGAAATCAACACTTTCAAGAAAGAGAAATAAAAAGAAAAAAATACCTCCAAAGACTATTGAACCTCTTACTGTGAATAAAAAGCCCAGCACTGCAGAGAATGAAAAAAAGCTATCAGTAAACTCTGAAAGTTCTAGTGTGGAAGCTGCTGAATCATCCTCAAAGTTGGAGTCACAGGTTTCAGGATTTGGCATTGTCCTCGAATCTTCATCTTCAGATGTAAGTTGACCAGGTGCTGGCAGAACAGACCCTGTGAAGAGTGCAAACCTCATGTCACAGGTGTTGTCGGTAGTGTAGTAAGTCTTGGGATTAGGCCGTAATGTTGGTTTCCCGTGGGATCTTTTCTACATCTGCAGGTTGCAACATAAGGGCTGACCATCCACATACTTTATATTTTCAGGAAAGATCTGTATGCACACACTATATCCTAACAAATCCATATGATTGTCCAGTTCCTGTTTCATGTTTTGTACTAGTATGCCCCTGAGGGGATCATTCCAAAAACATTTCTATTGAGCCTAGCATTGAATAGGCCTTGTTCATTTGTTCACAAGCATATTGGGAAGCATTTAGCCGTGGGACAATTGAAGGAATTATTTTTGGTTTTGCAGCTGCACTGTACATGAGTCTGAGGGAATCTAAGAGTTGGTGCTAAAGTACTAAGATAATGATATCCCCTCCCCCTCAAGAAAGTGAAGAAATCAGGGTTTTGGGGAAGGGGCATGCACGAGTTACAAAAGTCTTCTCAGTTATCCGCAGATCTTAAAAACTGACTTCTCATTCCTCTTTAATCAGATTAGCACAGTTGGCATTAGGAAAAAGTGCACAAGTTAAGTAGCTGCTGTTGTTATTTATGCCGTGTCACCAGTGTACGTGCATAAGGTCAGTGGGCTGAAGGGAGAGATGAGATGGGGGGGAGGATGGTGAGCAAATGCAGAGTGTTTACTTGGATTCAGTTTGGGGGGACAAGTAAGCAAGAGGCTTGCTGCAGAAGATGAGTTTTGTTAGCATTATTGCAGTTGCCAAGGTAAAACCAGGGATGATGATATAGAATCAAAGCCTCCCATGGGTTGGTTAATTTGATGTATCTCACAAGGGTCTTTGTGACAAAGATGACAAGGGTGAAGACTTTGTATGAAATGTATTCATTCTCAGTCTGTAGCACCAGAATAGCTTGTTCTGCCCTACCCCTGCCATAGGTAATGCTAGAACAAGTGGAAAGCTAAAGCGATGTCACTTTTTTCTGTCCGTGTTAATGGTTATAATCTGTTAGTAAGAATTGTCCTGTGGAAGCAACGTCACAAGGCTGTGCAGAACCCTTTTAACAATAAAGAGAAGTGAGAGATTTCCTATCTGCTGACCAGAAGTGCATTCACTTGTGAGTTGAACTTGTGCAAATTACTAGTTGGGCCACTGGTGGTTAATCCTAACCATAAGACTGATCTGCCCAATTTTATACTCTCTCATGGCACAAAGAAAGCATACATGTGAAGGTAGACTTAAAGTATCGGGGCTGAAATTGTAAATGTCAAAATCTAGAGCCAGGATTTCAAAAGGGCACACTTGGCATTTTCTCCTTTTGAATTAGATGTTTGTAGAATGAATATCAGGAGAGCAAGAGGGTGGCTGGTTGGCTTTGTTTGAGCTTCAAGCAAATGATGGCTGAAAAGTTCACTGATGAGTAAGCTGATCATTAATTTCTTCAACGTACCTTTTTAATTTTGAGAAGACAGTTTCCAATTTCCTAAGTACAGCAAGCTCAGAGAACATAATTAAATTCCGTATCAATGATCATAAATGAAAGAAATTCTGTAGATAATATTGTACCTTTCTAGAAGTGCAAACTAATAATAAAAAAGAGCAGTCATGATAATTCAGTTACACAGATGTGAGCTACACCGGTAATTAGATTAGTGTGTCATCCGACAGACTCTATGTAATGATACATAGCAACTGGTTAAATGCTTTTCTGTGGTTCTTGTATGTAATTATAATTACAGCCAGAAATGACTGTGCAAGGAAAGGATTGGAAACTTCTCTTTCAGTTTTGTAAGTGATTTTATTATTTTGACCTGTTTTCAGATTGCCCGTCAGTTTTCCATGGTACATATAATTTCTAGAGGGTGTTTGTACTTTGTGATTTTGTTCAAGCCTGGCAAATTGTTCCACTGGGATGAAGTCCTTTGTAGGAGTCTCTATGATTCTAACTAGCCTTTTTCTTTTTAAAAAATGTCTCTAGCTCTCATGTTCATAGAAGAAAAGTTTGGCATTGGCGCAATCACATATTCAAAGGACTGAAAACTAAAACTGTGAATGAAGCTTGCATTCCTTTGGGCGCTAGCTTGGGAACTGACCTTGGTGAACTCTGGAGGATTTCTGAGTATGGGATCATGTTTCAGTTCTTTATACACTTATATGAATCCCCTTGTCAGTGGGATTTACATAAGAGTAAACATGCATAGGATCAGGTTGGAAGCCTGAGTTTACATCTCTCATTAATTTTCAGCTGGGGTGAATGGAATGGCTGGACCACTCCACACTGCAACATTTTGTTGCAGGCTCCACTTGTCCAATTTATATTAAATACATGTTAACTACATTATGTGAATTAGCCACAATTACAACTCTTGATATGTCTATAGGGTAACCTTCAAAGCTGAATTAAGTAATCTTTCCATTTCAAATCTTTCAATTTTAATGAAAGGGGAAGCCTATGTATGCAAAATATTAAGTAATTATCATATAGAAATTGCTTCTTAGAGAATTGAATGCCTTTGTATACAGTGCCTTAGTGATCCCAAGCCTTAGAATAGCCTTGAAAGACAGATCAATATTATTATCCCCATATCTCGGTTGGCTGGGGATGTGACGTAGTGATTTTCTTTAAGGCCACCCATTGAAACTGTCTGCTGATTATTACAAAGGGCAGCTTCATGGTCAAGCTACTGCAAGGACCCAATCCCTCAACCTTTAGATTACCTCTTTTCTCTGTGCACAGAACAATCTTTGCAAAATATGTAGTTGAGGGTCGCCCTCAACACTTCTGGGGCACACTTTCAGTAGCCTCCTTCAAATGAATCAATAAAGTAAGGTCATTTCTGAACTACCAGTATGGGAGATGCATATGCCCCTGGTAGTGATCTGTGAGATAAAGTTTGCCAACACTTTCCTACAATGCCTTATTGCCATACAGAAATATTATACTTGATTAACATTATTGACTGCACCAGTAATTCCTAAGTAAATGGTGTACTCTGAGAAAACTTCTACTGTTAAGAAATAAATTCATTAAATAAAAATTGTGAATTCCAAGCATGCCCATGCAGAAGTGGGTGTCTGGCCTGTTACCCAGAAAGAACATTTCCAGCATCTCCTTAACCACAACTCCCCTGTAGCTGCTGAGGTCCTCTCACAAGTCCCTCAAAACAAACGAGAGATGAGCTTGCAGTATCTCCAAATCTGGGAGAGTTGTGTACAGCTATAAACCAAATGAAAAACAACAAAGCCAGTGGACCTGATGGGATACCTGACGAAGTCTTCAAAGTGGGTGGAACTGAACTTACACAACAACTTCACAAGCTCATCGAAAAAATCTGGGAGAGAGAGGAGATCCCAGCAGACTTTAGGGATGCCAACATTATCAATATTTCATTTAAAAAGGTGATAGAACAGATTGCGGAAACTATTGAGGCATCTGTTTATTAGCTGTGGCTGGCAAAATTCTTGCAAGAATCTTAGCAAACTGCCTCCTAACTATATCCAAGGATACCCTTCCTGAATCCCAAAATGGTTTTCGATCTTCTAGGGGGGCAGTGAATATGATTTTCACTTCAAGAAAAACGCAGAGAGCAAAACCAAACCATACCACCTGTGGACTGTCCTTCTGAAAATCGGCTGCCGAATAAATTTGTGAACATTCTTTGGCTCCTCCATGATAATATGACAGCAACAATCACGGATCACAGTGGCTCTCAGAGTGAACCATTCATAGTGGGATCAAGTGTTAAACAGGGTTATGTTATTGCCCCAACTATTATTACTTTCATTGCCATGATCCTATGCATTGTTGAAGGGAAACTTCCCACCAGGGTAGAAATATATTGAACAGATGGAAAGCTCTCCTATTTGAGTTGGGTGGAAGCAAAGAGTAAGGTTACCGTAACTTCCATCGTAGAGCTTCAATATGCTGATGACAATGCAGTGTGTGCACACTCAGGATGACCTCCAAACCATCCTAAATATATTGACAGAAGCTGCTCCAACACAAGCACAAAGCAACCTCTCCACAGTGCCACAAATCCAACTTAATGGTGTAAATCATTTTTCTAGGCAGTTATATTTCCACAACAGCTGACATTGATGCATCGCCTGAGCTCTGTGAGTGCAGCTTCCTGATCGAAGTGTTGAGTGTTTTAGGACCAGGACATTCACAGGGAAACCAAAACACTTGTTTACAAAACTACTACCAACTTTACTATATGCTTGTGAAACATGGACCACTTATAAACACCATCTCCAACCCCTTGAAAGATTCCCTCTCCGCAAAATTTTACATATCACTTGGGAAGATACCCAAACTAATGTCAGTGTACTGGAAGAAGCAAAGATCACCAGTGTCAAAACAACAATCCTTCAATATCAACTTCATTGGACTGTATGTTGTACTGATGCCTGATTATCATCTTCCAAAGCAACTACTCTATTCTCAACTTAAAAATGGAAAGTGAAAGGCTGGTGGACAACAAAAGAGGCTTAAAGACGCTCTTAAGGCAATTTTTAAAAAATGCAGTATAAGCATGGATAATTGGGGAACACTGGCCTGCAAGCACTCCAGTTGGAGAATAGCCTTTACCAAAGGTGCCACGGACTTTGAAGAAGCACGAACTTGGGATGAAAGGGAGAAACGAGCTAAGAGGAAGGCATGTTTCGCAAAATCCTCACCATGATCAACTCCCACCCAGAAACCTATGTCCCCTCTGTGGAAGGATGTGTGGATCCAGAATTGGCCTCCAGTCATTTACGGACACACTGTTAGGACTACATTACTGGAAGACAATCTTACTTGGCACGAGTGATCGCCAAAGAAGCAGCACTGGTCTAGCCTCCCTTCAATCACACTTATGTGCAAGAAGGCAATCGTACCATGGTTCTTCTTTGGGTGTAGTTGAATTATGTACCGTATTTATCGCCCTATAGGGCACACCGGCCCATAGGGCACA